CAGGAGGGAGAGAGATTTATTTGCCGAGAAATTATAACTAATATTATGTGATTGACCTTCTCTTCTATCACGATTTACAAAAATTAAACTTCACCCTTGAGGGAACAGAAATTTTGGAGATAAAATGTTCTTTAAAAAGTAGAAAAAGAGGGTCGGGTAGAAGCACAGAAGTTTTCAAATACAAACTTCCAATTCTCTGTCTCAAAAAGCGTTGGTGCCAACACTCCGCCCTGCTTTACTCCATATTAGTCATATACATGCCTTTAGACAAATCGACATTGTTCTTGACAATGGCTTTCATGCCGTCATGAAATAGGCACAAAATAGTCTTGAACTTTGGCGGGCAAACGAACTTCGCTTGGATTTTCCTATAAGCTTCCCCGACTGATGATATCGAAGTCCTTTGTTAGGTCAACAAAGGTCATGCATTAGGTTGTATTCTGCTCTCTGCCCTTTTCCTGGGTCTACCTGGCAGCAAAGATTATGTCTGCTGTGCCCTCTTTCATACGGAAGCCACAATGACTTTCAGGCAGGCGCCTTTTGAAGAGAGATACTTCAGCAGATGATTGAGCATAGCCCTAATTCAGACTAGGACTAGGATATTGCCGGTCATAGACAAAAGGGATATGCCACTGTGATTGTCACAATATTGCCCTCCATCTTTGTTTTTGTACAGAAGAATGATGATTCCATCCCTGTACCCCTGGGGAATACTTCCACCCTCTCTCATTTGACAGAATAGTTACATCAGTGTCTCAACAAGACTGTCTAATCATTTTTCATTTGTCATAATTTCTTCTGAAGATGTTCCTTGCACATTCTCAATGCGTCTCGTTTTGAAGTAGATATTTTATTACTGGTTGAGGAATCTATCAGCTTTCTTTTTTTCTTGAATGAGATTCTGAATCTCCTTTTTGCTTTCATCAAATCATTCTGGTGATGACGACTGGGAAAGCCGATTGTTCTAGCTAGGGGTTGCACTCTTGTATAAATTGTTAATCTCTGAGTAAATCCCAGTGGCTTTCAATGTCATTGGGAGTAAAAGACATCCTTTTCAATTTGGCATTTACTACTACTACTACTACTACTACTACTACTACTACTACTACTACTACTACTACTACTACTACTACTACTACTACTACTACTACTACTAATG